ACTACTTTGATGTCCCACCAAATGCAAAGCATCACTTTCTGCGGATGGATACCAGGTTTTTGGGGCAGAAATGATTTTTGTCTGGGACTGAGCCATTGTTTTTGGCGTTTAATATTCGCATAGAGAATAGATTTTTTATCATCGGTGACAATTCTGTCCAAAAATGGTTCACGCGCATTACGCGCGAGAAGAGACGAAGCAGCATTCACAAGTTGGAAGCGAGGTATCCAAACATCTTCTTTATGGAGTTTCCCATATTCTTTAGATGTTTACGTATTGTTCCATGAGAGACATGCAATTTCAGAGCCATTTCACGAGTTTGTTGCCTTGGGTTAGACTCAACAAGCGTCTTCAGAACATCAATATCAATGTCGACCTCTGCCATCACAGTTTTTAAGTCTAAAGTCACCTGAACGAAATTTGCTGAACCATCGTTGACACTTACGAACGTTTAAAACATTTCTATATACTGCTTTGATATTCTTTGTGGTTACAGAGGTGTTGTTTCCCTTCTTGTATTCAAACAGCATTACATGCCGAATGTGTGTCTTGTCGTGTGCCATCACTATAAGAGATTAGAGTATACTAAACTTTACACGTTATATAGGCTACACTAACTATTATACATGATGCACGTTTTTTGGGGGGAGGGGGGAGTAATGAAAATGTTCCAAAACGCGAAATTAATTTCTTGACGACCTAATAGAATTTCAAACGTAGCTTTTAAACTAAAGTTTAGTATCATACTTACACAAACAACTGTATCATATGAATAGAGCAAAATTACCATATAAAGTCCTAGGAAAGGCATCATTTGACAACATTTCGGGTCCAATTTTGATTGATGTATTTAAAACGTAGAAAATATGTAATCCCATTTAGACTGGAAGCGGCGTCAGTTCTTACAGAGCTTCCAATATAATAAACACATCTATCTATCTGCTTGTCTGTCTGTCCATCTATTTATATATATACACACACGCACGCACGTATATGCATGAGTTTCTTTAAAATAAAGGTAAGCTCTAAAAATCTATGAAACCACAAACATGACCCACGATCACCACAACCACTTTGTTATCATTGTTATCTATTGGAAACATTGTAATGTTTGCTCATTTGTTTTCCAGTTCACTGTAATAACTCGTCCTTTCTTAGAAGAATTTTCAAGTTTTATTTCTTATGTACTTAGCATTTATCCAGAGGTTTTTGGGGGGTGGTTAATGAAAGCATTCCCAAACGCTACACTAACTTCTTGACGACTTAATTAATATATGCAGCTGTACATTATTGAATTTTTCTCATAGCTGAATAGAGGGCGTAACCCTATGATGGTCTACAAGCCTCCAAGTTGGAATTAAATAACAATTAAGAAAAACAAAATAGATGTCTGATGTCAGGGTTTATGGCACTTAACAACAGACTCTTTATAAATATTTTACTACATCTTATATTGGAAACCTAACTTGATTTTATGTTTCTAACGTTGTGTAGTTGATACTAGAATTTTTTTTTATTTTCACTGCATTTTTGACAATTTTAATATTAATAGCAAAAAAAATCACAAATGAACTCTGACATTTAGAATATCGATTTCTGTTAATTTTGTTTTGTTAATTTAATTAAAAAGAGCAAACGGGAATCATGAATAAGATAACGTCGATTGCAACCAGAGTATCTGGTTGAGTAAAGCCTTTTGCTTACTGCAAAAATATGATGGAGAAGCAATGTCTTTTGTATACAGTTGATCTGTATAGGAAAATATGGTCATAAATTTAGTATGTTTTAGTATATGCGTATGTTAAATACTTTTGTGCAGTTAAAATGTACATAAGACTGTTATATCTAAAGAATATTATTTCTATTCATATGCATTTTTTGTTGTTCATAAGTGTCTTCTTACCAGATTCCAACAATTAGAAACTCCAAGGACGGTGACGTTAGACTCCCGACACAGAACATCAGTAATTGTGTTCAAGATAGCAGTGTTGTTACACGTAGACGATATGTTTGCTACAGTCGAGAAGCAGTCTGTCACAATCAATGTAGGTTTTCTTAGGTGAAGATGGAGCTTCTTCACCAGTATATCTGTGAAAATAAAAGTAGCAAATTTTAGAATAGCAGCCAAATCTATCCATTATTTTTACTATATTTATGAAGACAAATATGTGACAAACTAGAAAGCTTCAAAGTAATCAAATACAAATCAATTATTTAATATTTTGTTTTTGAATTTCGCGCAAAGCTACACGAGGGCTATCTGCGCTAGCCGTCCCTAATTTAGCAGT